TTCTCTAACCTCCCTTACCAGATTACTCTCTATCAAAAATTTGAGTATAGGGAGAGGGGTGGAGAGAGAGTTGTAAATTCTTTGTAACCTTTTTACCAATTGTGTTTGAAGAATTTTTGTATTATATTAGTCATTAGCATTTTTCATATATTTTACAGTTTGGGTCTCCCTAGATTTGTTTGTTTGTTTGTTTGTTTTCACTATGTAATCATCTTGTTCTTATTTTTAGTAATTAGCTTAATTTTGTCTTAATTCTTGTGGCTTTTGGAAAAAGTCTTGCATTTACTAAGCTTGGACTCTTATTACTTTTTATATGTTTCCTGCATATAAGTGTCATTTTGAACTCATTTCATGACTCTTACCTGCTTAAGTTTTCTTTCCATTAGATGGTTCTAATTATAGCCAGAAGCCTGATTGTATTTTTTAAAAATACTTTTTTAAAAAGTAGTAATACTCAGTCTAAAACATGGATAATACAGAAAAGAATAGATAAATAAAATACAGCTAGAGTTTCCATGTAGAGATTAGGGTTGTTAGCATTTTGGTATATCTCTTTTTGGTATGTGTAAGGCGAGGGTGTTAAGGAAAACTTGAGATGGCCAGGGACAGAATATTGGGAAACTAACATTTGTAGACTGGGCAGAAGAAAAGTCAGAGAAAGAGGTTGTACCAGTGAAAGTTATTAAGAAGGAAGTACAGGGTTATAAGATAATAAGAAAAGGGGAAAAGGATAAATGGGTGAAAAGCTGAGGACAAACTCATCCCAAAGATTTGTATTAACTGAGGTATATTCCTAAGAGTGTCTCCACTACACCCTGCTACGTAAAAGCAGGTAAGTTCAAAATCCATATATCACCACTCCCTGACCTCTTTTACAGTCCTGTGTCCCTGATTATATACATGATATTGAAACTCAGATGATATTTAATATTGTTAAAATATAATTGATAAAATATAGGATACGCAGTTAAATTTAAATTTCAGATAAATAATAAGTAATTTATAATATAAATATGTCCTAAATATTACATAGTTTCTATCTCTTGAGTTATTTTTGACAATTTGTTTTTTGTTAGAAGATAGCTCATCTGACCCATTTAAAAAATATATTGCAATAAAGATACATAGGGTATTTCCTTATAATTAAATAGAAATCTTTCTTCCTCCATTAAGATTTTTATATATGCTAGAAGGAATGCACTTTACTTGCCTGGCTTATTCTTGGCTTTCAGTTCTCAATTTAAATGTCAATTTTCAAATGCTTTCTCTGACCATCCAATCTAAAGTAGTTTCAGCTTGATTCTTTCATAGTGCCTTCTTTTTTCTAATGATATTTATCACATTTTAAATTATATATTTATGGGTTTACTCATTTGATGTCTATCATTCCCTTAAGACAGAAAGCTTCATAAAAGCAGTCTATTTTGTTCACTACCACATACCTAGTGGCTAATACAATGCATGGCCCCTGTATGTGTTATTACATGAATGATTCTCTGAAAACACTTTTTGTTTTTTTAAATCCTGAGGAAGTTCCTGCAGTGGTTTCATAGTTTCTAAAAGATGGTTAACTTCCTAAGGCTAATCCCAAGGCCTTCCTTCCACTTCTCCTCCATATCTATCATTCACTATTGCTCAGCTAGTAGTCATCTCTTCAGTCATCTCTTCAATCCTACACATGTGTCTTTGCCTTATTGTTCCCTCTCACCTCTTCCCTTTATGTTAATTTCTGACCAAACCATCTATTGAGGACAAACCTCAAACTCATCTCTTCTAAGAAGCCAGATCCATCCTGCTGTTCTTAATAGCTCCCTTGTTCTATGTGCCTATAGCACTCATGTGTAATCTTTTTTTTTTTTAAGATTTTATTTATTTATTTGACAGGGAGAGACACAGAGAGAGAGGGAGCACAAGCAGGAGGAGTGGGAAAGGGAGAAGCAGGCTTCCTGCTGAGCAGGGGGCCTGATGTGGGGCTCAGTCCCAGGAGTCCAAGATCATGACCTGAGCCGAAGGCAGACTCTTAACAACTGAGCCACTCAGTTGCCCTGTGTAATCCATTCTTTAAGAACTGTGAATTTGACTGAATAACGCCTTGTAATTGTCAATATTTTTCATAAACAATTTAAGGATAGAGAATATGGCTACAGTTGGGAATCGGAAATTCACTAAAAGGCATTTGGCCATTGAGTAAATTTGTCGTTCTGAGTATTTACCTAGAATCAGGAAGGAAGATATGGAAATGTCTTAAAGTGTCTTATAGAACATGATTAAGAACTTGGATTTTATTTAATATATTAGGAAACCATTGTAAGATTTTTGATAGAATAGAAACATGATCTGATGAATGACTTAAAAAATAATCCCTGATTGCTTTACAAAGATGTGTTGTGGTGGGACAACATTGGAAGAAGAAAAAGGCTATTGGTGAAAGTTGATGGAAGATAAGAAGCAAGGATGACTCTTAGGTTTTTGACATAAGTGATATTGACATTTTTTGAGTTGAGGAAGAATTAGATGGGGTCAATTTGGGGAAAATTTAAGAGTCAAATTTGAGACAAATTAAGTTTGAGGTGCCGACTAGACATCCAAGTGAAGATATTGAGTAGGCACTATGTGTCTGAAGGTTAGGGCTAGAAATAAAAATTTGAGAGACATCAGGATGTTTATTGATCATATTTATAGCTATGGGACTAGCAGGGTAGTGAGAATAGATTAAGAAGAGAAGCGACCAAAGACTGAGACCTGGGGCAAGCCAACATTCAGAGGATTGGAAAAGGAGATGCCAGCATCATTAAAGCAAGGACTGTAACTTCTTTTGCATCTCTCAGAGTGCCTGCTTTAATGCTGCACTCACAGTAAATGTTCCAAAAACATTCACTGAAGGAATGAACAAATAAATTGCTGGAAAAGTGGGTATGTTGCCATACCATGCACCTCTTCTGAATATGTCCATGCCAGAGCACAAAATAGTGTTTCTGTCACAGTCTCAGTCACATACTAGGATGGAAAATTCCACACCTGGCAAGAACTTACTGGTAGTATTTTTTTTTAACACTTAATAAATTACATGTTTGAACTGAAGTTTTCTCTTCTTCTTTTACTTGAATGGGGCAAATGGAAAAATATCTTCGACCAGTATGTTCTAATGTGATACATTGATTATTTTTTTCATTAGAAGACACCAAACTTAATCCTTGGCAATCCATCAAGACCATATATTTTCAAGTGCCAGTAAGAGTGAGATGACTTTGGCAAATCTGAAGCAAATTGCTCTATTTTCTTTTCTATTTCAGTTGAAGTACATGCACTTAAAATTCCTCCTGGAGTACCTCCAAATTACAAAAAAAAAACAAAGCTAAAATCTGAATATCGAAAGGAATAAGCAAGAGATCCTTAGATGGTTATCTATTGGTTTTTGGATTCAAATTTATATAATTAATATTGTTCCTAAAACTGTATGATACCATTCATATGCGAATAGTGGCATAATTTTCAAAGGATCAATGCAGAGGGTATAGAATCATGGGCAAGGTATTTCCAACACCTTGCAACAAATCATGGTCACCATCATAAAATATAGAATTGCAAATTTTGATTATGTGAGGGTATTTGCCATCAGAAGGCTTTTGAATCATTGAGTTAAATGAAGACTTAAAATGAAAAATTATCCCATTTAATGGCCAAAACTAACAGGGCTATACGGTTTAAGTGTTCAGAGATTTATGGTGCAATGCTCATACAGGCAACTGATGTCAATTCTGGGAACTGGTATTAAGAGCAGTGGAGTGAAACAGAGTTGATGAATTAGAAAGGGCAGTTCATTTTCAGGTTTCTTTCAAAACATGGCAAGAGAGAAGCAAAGGCTGCAAAAACAAATGAAATTTCCAACCCAGAACTTGACATGTAAAATATCAAAAATTATAGTTGGAAGAGATTAAAATTGCCATCTAGCCTGTGATGTTTCCCATTCATCTTTCTTGGGTGATAAAAAAAAAAAAAAGTCATTTCAAAAAATTTCTCTTTCTTACTAACTGTGTTAGAAGAGGTTTGTGGTAGAAAGCACCGTGAAGTAGAACTTCTTAAAGTGTGTGTTACAGAAGAGGTGGTACGAGAAAGTGGGTAAGTCTTTCAAACATCATTAAACCAGGCACGATCCACTCGAGTACCCAAGAGACGTTCATCAGTGGAAACATGAAGTTCACATCTTTCCTGAAAGTAATCTTCCTTCAGAAAATGCATTCAGAGAATGCTGTAAGATGATATTAATATTCAGTCTTGCATCCTTCTACTTATTTTTCTGGCTACAATAGATCATCAGCATTGGAGAAAAGGACAAGGATTTGGGGGAGATTTTCATAGCTTGCATAACTAAGTTAAGGAAGCTTAAAGAGGAATTTTTAAAAGCCTGAAGGGGAAAAAGTATTCCCTTTATCTTAGCAGCACAGACACTGTAGTGTGTTCTATGGTGGGGACACCAAGGATGAATTCAGTGAATTCCCTCTTTGTATCACACATTTATACCAGTTCCTTTTTAGGAATCGGGATTTTAAGAGCAAAAAAAAATTTCCTTTCTTAGACATTGCAGTTATCTTCACATAGAATAGGTAATATAGAGATATATCTACTGCATTAAAAGACTAACTTTATATACTTCATTATTCACGTATGATTCTGAGAGTTGGAATAATAAGGTCTTATTACATGGGATCAGATTCAGAGTGGCCATAGGCAGTAATCAGGAATCACAGTGAGGGAGCTGTCTCTTTTTAAACCTATGATTAAGTGACTCTCCCAGTTAAGGAATGTACATTTTCTAGTCCCTTTTAATCTGACTATTTTCTTTTATCCTAGGAAGCATTATCTTTTTCAAAGTATATCCATCTCCTTAGAGAATCCCTTTCTCTTCTGATTCAACACATAAATACATTTCTGTCTAGTCTATGGCAATAATTTGTAATAGAATAAGTGATACAAAATGATATTTAAGAAAAAATACATACCCTTTCTTCTCTGTTCCTTTTGGTCTTCTTGGCAGAGGAATCTTCTTAAATGCTCCAATTCACTGGGTGAGTTTGGGCAAAAGGAGAAAAAAGGAGGTGCTAGAAGGAGGTTCTTTACAAATAAACCTTTGTCTGCCTTGTCTCTTGCCTGGGATTGACAGACTCACTGATCCAGCCAGGACTGGGGAGGAGGGGAGTGGAAAAGAGACAGGCCTGAAAGAACTGCCTCCCTTGGATTCTTCCAAGCCAGGCAAGGCAGAACTGAACAGCTGCTTTTCAGAGGGAAATAACTAGTCTATACAAGAACTTCAGGGAGGCAGACTCTTGGAGCAATAAAATGTAAAACCTGAGGGATTTAAAAAGAACACAGAGTAGTTTTAACCTTAGGGGAAGTGTATGTGTGTGAGAGAGAGAGAGACAGACAGACAGACAGAGACAGAGAGAGACACAGAGACAGATGGGAACGGAGAGAACAGGGAGAGAAAAAGAGGCGAAGGAGAGAAGGAGGAGAAAAGGCTAATGTGATTTTAGGCAAATAGCTGAACACTTCTTCCTCTTTCACAGTTTCTTTGTGATTTTTCACTCAGTTTTCCTCACCATCTAGATCTCTTATTATAATATTTTGGCTGAATATATGTTCAAACTCTCCAAGTCCTCACCCAGTGAGTAATTACCAGTCAAAGGAAAGTAGAAAATAAAATGACTGAAAAAAGAAATCTGTGTCTCAAAGGCATAAAAGGAATTTCACTCTGTTTTGAGCAAACTGCACTGGAATCGTAGCATCTGCTAACTATCCTTTAATTGTTGGTTAATTTTTAAAAATTCAATTTGGAGTAACATGGAAGGAGTTGGAAAAATTAGAATCTGGATTATCTAGACAGAGAATGGAGGGAAGAGCATTCTAGGTTGTATAAAAAAAGGCAGGAAGGTGAAGGAGAGGGGAACAACTCTGGGGTGATCCAAGTAGTTTAATGTAGCTGGATCTAGGGACGGCAGAGGAAAAAGTTAGAGAACTAGAAAGAAGCAAGTTGTTGAAGTACCCCATATGCTACATTGAAAATTTTGGATTTTACTCTGAAAGTAAATGGAAAGATAAGAAAAGTATTAAAAAGGACGAAAGCCCTAACTGCAGTATGAAAGGATGATGTAGGAAGAATGAAGCTAGGGACAGAAGAGGGGCCCTTGTGGTAACCCAGAAGGGAAGATAAGAAGCAAAGCTAAAAATATTTGGCAATCAATTAGGTTTTTATGTTTAGGGTAGAGGTAGTTGAAAGAAGGGAAGGAGACTTTATTAACTTGTAGGAGCCTTGAATGGATAATGCGTTATTCATCTAGGGAAAAGAATACAAAAGGAAGAACAGTTTTGGTGGAGCAGGAGGGGAAAATAGAAATGAGTGAGTTTATTTTTTATTGAGTTTCAAGTGTTCTTATTTTTTATTTTAATTCCAGTATAGTTAGCATACAACATTATAGGTATTTCAGTTGTACAATATAGTGATTCAACAACTCCATGCATCTCCTGGTTTTCCTTATGACAAGTGCACCCCGTAATACCCATCTCCTCTTACCCTCCATCCCCCCACCTATCTCCTCTCTGAGAACCATCACTTTGTTCTCTATAGTTAAGAGTTTGTTTCTTGGTTTGTCTCTCTCTCTTTTTTCCTTTGGTTATTTGTTTTGTTTCTTAAATTCCACATATGAGTGAAATTGTATGGTGTTTGTTTTTCTCTGATGAACTTATTTCACTTAGCATTATACTCTCTAGCTCCAACCATGTTGTTGCAAATGGCAAGATTTCATTCTTTTTATGGCCGAATAATATTCCATTGTGTATATATATGCACATTTATCCATTCATCAGTTGATGGACACTTGGGCTGCTTCCATATCTTGGCTATTGTAAATAATGCTGCTGTAAAAATAGGGGTGCGTATATCTCTTTGAATTAGCATTTTTGTATTTTGGAGGTAAGAACCCAGTAGTGCAATTACTGGATCATAAGGCAGTTCTATTTTTAACTTTTTCTTTGAAACTTTATTTATTTGTTCATCGGGACAAAGAAAGAGAGACGGAGGCAGAGGGAGAAGCAGGCTTCCCATGAAGCAGGGAGCCCAATGCAGGACTCTATCCCAGGACCTGGGGATCATGAACTGAGCTTAAGGCAGATGTTAACCAACTGAGCCACCCAGACACCCCTATTTTTAACTTTATGTGGAAACTCCTTACTGTTTTCCACAGGGACTGTACCAGTTTGCCATTCCACCAACAGTGCAAGAGGGTTCCTTTTTCTCCGCATCTTTGCCAACATTCATTGTTTCCTCTGTTTTGGATTTTAGCCATTCTGACAGGTTTAAGAAGATATCTCATTGTAGTTTTGATTTGCATTTTCTTGATGATGAGTGATATTGAGCATTTTTTAAAAAATATTTTATGTATTTGAGAGAGAAAGATAGCATAAGTGGGGGGAGCAGCAGGCAGAGGGAGAGTCAGACTCCCTGCTGAGCAGGGAGCCCAAAGCGTGACTTGATCCCAGTACCTTGGGACCATGACCTGAGCCAAAGGCAGATGCCCAACCAACTGAGCTACCCAGGCATCCCTATTGAGCATCTTTTCATGTGTTTGCTGGCCAGCTAAATGTCTTCTTGGAGAAATGTCTGTTCAGGTCTTCTGCCCATTTTAAAATTGGACTATGTGGGTTGTGGGTGTGGAGTTTTATAAGTGTAAGAGGAAAATAGAAACTAATAGAAGCTATTCAGCCTTCACTCCATCTTAAGAGCTGTTCATCTTGTTTCCCCCATGTCAGTTAATCTAGACGAGAAGTGTAGTGCCAACCCAAATTGCTTTTACTATAAACAGGTTCTCTCTTTTTCTCTGTTTTACTGTTCTTTCCCTGTGTGTCTGATTCTTTTTTATTTCCCTTATTGCACTGCTCATTTTGTTTCCTTGCATTTATTCCACAGCTAGTGAGAATTGTTGACTCATTTTTATATTCAACAATATTCAAATCCTAATATGCCTGCCGCCATATTTCTTACATGCCTGCTTCAAGTGGTGCCAGTAGCTCTAGACAATGAAATGACTACCTAATGCCTCTGGATCATGTTCCTAGACACTTAGGAAAGATTTCCCCTAAACAACGCATTTTGATCTTGGCTTCCTAGTCCCTTGTTGTGTCTCAAACATTTACTTATTACTTTCTAGACACCCCACCATTTCTAGGGAGAATTATTGAATGTTGTTAAATTTAAAAACATCTTCTATTATTTATCCTGATGTCCTTCACACAGATTTTCCCATTTGAAAAGCAATGGAATTGCAAACCAAGGCCTGCAATTGGAGAGGTTGCCCTTGTGACTTTTAATTTGGGGTTCAAATCTGAAGCCACTATTTATCTTCTTATATACGGCATTTTGTTTGTTTTTGTTTTCTCTCCTGACTATCAGTTACTAAGACCTTGTCAAACCCTGATTTATGTTGTTCTGGAGACCATCTCTCTTTTTGAGACAGTCTCTGGGGCCTCCCAAAGTAAACCTCTTAAGTGTGATAGGTTAGGACATTTAAATATATTGTCCACATTTCTAGAAAATATGTTCTGCTAGATTTTCATGTGATATTTACTACATGTGTGTGTGATTTATATAGGTTATGTTATCACCCTTATGTCCAATCAGGTTTGTTACAAATAGAAAATCCTGCAAATTAATGACAGAGTCAATTCATGAGTAGAGAAACATTTGATATAGAACTTAAGCAATTATGTTAAAAGTATTGTTTTTAAATTTGAAAAGCAAGCTGATTAGTATTTTATAAACAAACAATAACAACGAAATCCTTCCAATCAGTTGAAGTCTCAGGAGTTGTCTTAAATACAAATAATTTTAGACATTGGACATCCTAAGCTGATGAAGAAAATGGGAACACACATAAGTTCTTCCTCTGGTTTCTAGTTGGGAGCTCATGCATATGCCCTGATTTAGAATCTACTGCTCCTCTGTTCGTAATTGACCCCTTTCTCTTATCTCCCTCGGGCCCAAATCGTTCTGGAGTCACTAAGATTGGCAGCGTGGGGAGAAGCAGCAGCTGGTTTCAACCTTCACACGTTCCTCCTAAGAGAGAAGTAGGACCTGTTTTTTGTGACTATTCTTGACAAAAGGAGTTTCAAAATAATTATGCTAGTGGAAAACGAATCCTCAGTCTGCTTGTTGCGTGATAATGAGCCACAGATAAAACGATCTTTGAAAATCCCTTTAAAATCAGTTAAAAAGAAACAATTAACCTGTTGTGTTAACTTAATTATTTTGAACCCTGTAAAATAGTATTCTTTTTGATTAAAACTATTTAAAGTTTCCTTTAAGATTTCCTCTGAAGTTGGAACATTTGTGCTTAGAATGGTTTTTGCAACTGGGTTGAACAAAATAACCTCTATTACTCAAACTTAGCTTTCTGCCACTGAAGTAGAACTTATGAAAGCAGACTCTACTGAGCAGCCTCAAGGGAGGCCCTGGAGGAGGCAGCAGAAGTACCAAGGAGCTGTTGTGGGAGAAGCTGAGCTGGTGCCACCACGACAGGCAGAGAGCACTGTTTCCAAGAGGCAGTCTCAGAGGGCTGATGTCTTCAGGAACTGCTGGGATTCCCACACAGGCAGTCAGGCTCTAATGGGGATTGGAGAGGGAGAGTTCTTGCTCAGACACTTTTAGTCAGAATAGCAAACACAAGCCCTCTTTTACCTGGGCACGGAGAGGGAGGCACCCTCAGGGAGGGCTGGACTTTTTCTCAGCATTTATACATAGAGGTGGTAAACACCCCGAGTAATGTGATCTTTAAGTATGATAGAAATAAAGTAAAAAAGATAAACATCAGGAGAGAAATTTATCAAGAAAAACTTACCCACTTTTAGGGAGCCCATGGAATATTTAGAATGAATGATAATGTTAACATGAAAACAAACTTGGGCAGGGAAAGAGGCCAAGAAGGAAAGGAACTTGAAAATAACCCCTTTAGTTTCCTAGCAGTCTAAAAGAAGCACTGGACTGACAATAAGTAAAGTCATAGCCCAGATCCCAACAATAATTCTGTGGTTTGTTGGAAACAACCCACTTATTAAACTTAGAAAAATCAAAAGATTAAGTGTGCCAACATG